AAACCCCACTATCTGAGAGCATGTAAATACTGTTCTAGTAAGTGAGAGAATGTGTGGAGAGTTTCCCCTAGTGCTGCCCAGAATATCACGAATCCAGATTCAACAGAATCGTGGTTTCTCTTCGTCTCCTCTGTGCTGTTTTCCTCGGAGTGCATAGGAAGGATTATGCTCTTTTATATTACAAATGTGTATTTTTTTCCTTTCTTTCTCTTTTGCTTTCATTAGCAAAATTTTCTTTCTTCCGAAAGTCATCCTCAGAAAATTATTGATACCTGTATTTCTAATCTTTTAAATTGTTGTATTGAGTGGAAAAAATGAACAGCATGCAAGTTAAACACTGTGTGGGATAAATGCTATTTAAATCTTGTCTAAGCTGTTAAACATCACACTAACATTGGATTGCTGGATCTAATCCAGTAAAAATAAAAAAAAAAAAAGAGAGAGAGAGAGAGAGGTCACATTAGAGAACTAAGCCATCTGTCCAGTGTGGAATTGAAAGGCATTAATAATGAATTACTTTTCTGTGTTACTTTCTTTTGGGGGCCTTTGTGTGGATCAAAGGGTTGTTACATGACCACTTACCTGAAAGATGATTCCTGAATATTTCTACCTTGTCAAACTGATGTTTTAGTGTAAAACTTCTCAATTAGCATTTTGCATAACTAATTAGTCTCTTATAAACAGTATTTTCTAACTGACTTCGAAAGTGTCTTAAGTCTGTTCCAGGCATTGTTCCTCTAATATGGACTAAAGGATTTATGTATGCGCTTATTGGCAAATTGTGGAGCTTTTGCAAAGAATATCTCTGTCGATTTTTGTGCATGTTCATAACAAGATTTCATTTGGATTGTAACATTTTGAATTAATTTTAGTCTTTGCTACTGTTCATGAAGTAGATTGTGTTTGAACTCTTGCAGTATTAATGTAGCACGTTTGTAGAAAAAATTATTCTGCCGCATTAAAATAAAAATAATGATTTATAATGTTGACAGCCTTGGAGAGCATCTGATGTCAGGTCTGATCTTACTGACTGGTTCTGTTGCACATTCAGATGCATACCCCTGAACGATACTGTTATCATTTTTTAAAATAAAGATTTTCTGCCAAAAATATAATTTTGAAACCTCCTTAAAAATCATTAATCAGTGTCATGAAGGAGAGAAAGAAGAGAAAAAATGGGAGAGGGAAGTTGGTACAAACCTGCCATTAAAGCTTCTTTTAAAATCCTCCCTCTGACTAGTAAAATTACATTAACAAAATTGGTTTAGTATTTGATATGATTTAATGATCGGAAGCCCTGTCAGTTGAATCCGTTGTTCTTTCTGACTAGGATGCATACGGATCTGGATTAGGACATAGGTATTGATGAAGTTACTTGAAGCTTTTTTGAGTAGAATGGGACTAACTTAAGATGTTGCAGTTTTAAGATTTGAGGCTTAGAAGAATAAGATGAAATTCTGTCTATAGAGAGTTTAAATACTGTGCCATAACGGAATGTGGGGATTACTGGGTGTGATCTTTTGCAGACATTTGTGGTCTGTTTTCAGACCTTTTTTGAGCATCCTTTGCATGATGGAGAAGAAGCTATGGGGAGGGAGTTTGTCTAGACACTCTCTTCAGTCCTTTGTGGGTGGAACAAAGCCTGTTCTAGGACAAGAGGAGAAGCTACTACCATATTATTTCAGCTTGTATTTAGTTCTGAAAATTCCATGAGTTTTTCTTTTTCTTAAGATGAAGATATGCCAACTGCTTGAGCAAATCTATTTCCATTTGCTTTTCCCTGCTTTGCATTATTTCTTCTGGGTTTGTAAATGCTCATTCCAGCCAGCATCTTTTTACAAGTAGGAGAAAACTGAGATGTGGTAAGTACGTTAAAAGTTAGAAGTGCTTATTGACAAAGTAAAATTAGACTTTTCTCCATCCTTAAGTGCTACACTTCTCTGAGACTGTGTAAGAGGTTCTGTAACATAAATAGGAGCTATCATATTTTTAAGCTAAAACTTATTGGAGAGATGCGTAAATTGTGACTCTGCTCATTTTGGCAGCAAATTAATGCATTTCAGCTCTGCAAAATAAGTTGCAGACAGCATCTTTTTCTCTGACCCTCTTTCCAGACAGCCTCAGGAGTGCACTTTATCTTCTCTTTATCATATGTTCTTCAGTTTTCTCTGAAGTCGTCACCAGTTACGCTTTTGCATTACTTTGCTGCATCTGATTTATCATATCCATCCCTTCACAAGATGTTTTACCAGATGTCCTCTCTGAAGGGCATATCTATAGAAGAATTTTGCCTCAGATTAGGTTGTTTGTCATTTTATATTTGAGGCCGCCACGTAGTCAGGCTAATTTAGTAATTATATATGCATCTTTGAAGAATCCTTCTGTTCTGATGAGTCCTCAAGAAACCCCGATGTCTACTTGAAAAACGGCAAAGGGGCAAAACTATGATATGTACATCAACGCGCTTTTATCATATCGGTCTTGGATTTTCTCTGACATCCTCTTGACTGAGAAGAGATGGAGAAGGCTACCTGTGTGAATGGTCCTGATAGAGTTGCTGAGCCTTGCCAAGGTTCTATTTCCTTAAGTGTGGGGGTTTGATTTTTTTTGTGTGTGTGTGTCAAGTGACCTATGAAGAGTGGTACAAAATTAACAGGCTTTGAAGCCTCAAGAATCTTAGTAATTCATCTTTAAGCCCTTTCAGAAGCCAGTTAATACAAATTAGAAGATTTCTGGTTTGCTGGATGTGTGATTTCACTTAAAGGGAAGACTCTTCACAAGCTCCTTGTGGATTCCCTGTTCTGCCTTACACTTACCAAGGCCAGGCTGGATGAGGCTTTCAGCAACCTGATCCTAGTGGAAGGTGTCTCTGCCCGTGGCAGGGGGTTGGAACTAGACGATTTTTAAGATGCCTTCCAACCCAAACCATTCTATGGTTCTATACTGCTCAGGTAATACAGGAGACAGTTTGGTTTAAGTCAAGTTTTAAGGCACATGGTCCAGACAAGTTTTACATTTAAAAAAATAATAATATCTAAGAAAGAGTTGAGGAATTGATTACCTCCAGCCAGCCTGGATCTCATTTTCAAAGGATAAATGTACGTCTCTGCTGGGATTTTTCAGAAGGACCTAAGCAGATTAAATGCCTAAGTCCAACTGTTGTTTATATGAATTAAAATGACTTGAATTTTCCTTCTTTAATGCATATAGACTGTCAGTGTCTTGTTTTATGCAACTTCTTATTTTGTTTGGGTTTAAATTATTGTTGCCCAAAGCTTGGAAAAATTAGAAAACTTGAGTTATGCAATAATCTGCATCGTAGTGTGCAAGGCTACCAGACAAGTTCCTAACCACATACTAGTCGAGGAACACAGAATCTCTCCTTGCCTGTTCACGCACAAGCGATAGCTGAATTTATTTGTGGAGCCTGGAGTAACTGCGTTTACAAACCGGTACAGACTCTCATGCTGTATAAAAAAGGATGGGATTCAGTAATATTTAAAATTAGTCAGGTGTGTGCTGTCGATGTGTAGTTTACTCATCCCGAAGCATCGTCTTACGTACCTCCTCTTTCACTGTGCTAAGGAAGTTCTTGGCTTACCGATGTTTTGACTTTGCTAATCAGCAAGCAAGCTGTTAATGAGTCATTTAGATGAATGGGGAAACTTTGCTCTGCATGAGAAGTGCGGATTAAGGTCTTTATGCAAAATTGTCATAACTAATTCCATTGTTTTGTTAGTTTTAAAAGTGGGCTGACTTTGCCAGCTGTGTAAGTGGAGCTTTCTTGATTTTATTTTTTTCTGATGATTTTTAATCCCTTGCAAAATAGCAACTGGAGCATAGCAACTCATTGTTTTCAGGGGTTTTTTTAGCAACTAACACTAGAATTGAGTAACTTCTTTGAAGAGCAAGAATTCAACATTTTTTGCCTTCATTTAAGCAGGTTAAAGAGAAATAATTAGATTTTTCAGTTTTACTGTTAATCTAACCGAGGCAACCCATTTCTCCAGAATCTTTTTTTCAGAGCAGATACGTAGGCTAGCATGAAAACACTTTTATCAATAAATTCATTCATGGATCTGATCCAATTGTAGAGTTTGTAGATGCATATGATAACAAGGCAGTAGTGCCCCTGCCGCCTTCTGCATACTTCAGGAGAACTGAAAGGAGCACCAGAGGACAGATTAGTGCACAGATGATGTAGACTCTTTTGTAAACTCGGCCAAAGCAAATACTGTGCATTTTAATGTGTCCAGAGGAATGGGTGAAGGATGTGAGACGTGGCCATGCAACAGGGTGATGTGCCCTGGGAAACAAGGTGTCTCAAAGGAAGTTTTCGCTGTTAGTGGATGCCAGCTCTTAATACAATACCAGGGAACCAAGACAAATGTGTGTTGGCTCACTTCGGCCTGCATAAGCAGAGGGATTATACTCAGCAGAAAGGATGTTATTTTACCTCTGTGCTTGATCACCCCAGAGAAACTCCTGGAACGTGCTAGCCAATTTGAGAGTCACCAGTGCATGAAACAAATTAGAAAGATTCAGAGGGGGAAAAAAAACCCCACAAACCTATGAGTAGTTTGACGACTTTGAGACAATCTCTGTTTTGTTTATCAAAGAAAAAGTAAGGAGGTGACAACCTATGAATTCCTATCCTGGCAGAGTAATTTTCATAATGTATCCTTTGACTTCCAGAGGCAAAAGTACAGAAATATGATGGCACGAGTTTGAGCCTGACAGATTTGCTCTAAAAATCAAGTGAGTGCATGTTTTTAAGGGCAGACTAATTAATTTTCAAAACAACTTACATAGTGCCTTGATATGTTTCCTCTTATTGATAACTTTTTGAATTATGCTTGCTTGAGTTTCTGAAGAATATACAGATGTCAAAGAGAAATTAGTTCAGAAAAGTTCTGTGGACGTTGTTAAAAAGGAGTAACAACCTGAGCCTGTGGCAAAGAGCATGTGTGTTAATTCCGTTGTTTTGGTTTGTTTGGTAGATATGTTGATGATGTGATCAATCGAATCGATAGGATGTTCCCTGAAATGTCTATCCAGCTATCCCGGCCAAATGGAACCTCTGCAATGCTTCTGGTAAGTTGGATCATTTAATCCCTTAAGATGGATTTATTAAGGGACTGAATTACTGTTCCTAAACGGTGGGTTATTAAAGATGATTTTTTTCAGAAACATACTGTTCTTCAGTGATCACAGCAATGTAGGATCTTTCTTGCTCTTAGGCAAATGAGTAATAAAAAGAATTTCACCTTTAAACAAAAGATGTATTACTTCTTATTGTTAAATGTGGTTGTAGAAATATGAGCGCAAACTTAAATATTCGCTGCCTTTTTCAGCAGTCTTGGCAATGACTGAGTCTTAGTCATGATAATTAAGAAGGAAAAGAGTTTTGGGAGGAAGTAAAGGAGGAGGAAACCAATATGATTTAAATTTGTTCAAATTGTTCTTGGGTCAGTGAATTTCTGTTGTATGATGAAGTCAAGGATTTGCCTTTGAAGTAAATGAGGAGTAAAGGCTGGATTAGAGATAAACAAGTCCCATACATTCGACTTATTTCTGCCTGGCCAAGCAAGATTTCATTCCAGAAGAGCCTATTGTTCACATCAATTTTCACAGGCAGCTGTTGTGCTTGTAGCAAGAGAAGTCTTTAAAGCTTTTACTCTTAAGACAGCAATGAGGAAGTGGAGTCAGTAGCATGGCAGTTGGATGCTGCTTTTCTTCTGGTAGGGTGAAAGGCAGAAGTCACATCTTGTGCCAGATTTCAGATAAAACTAGAAAGTATGCCGTATGCACAGGTGAAGAACTGGGACTAAAGCAGTCTTTTCCTTCTTAGATTTCTCATGGCACTTGCTCTTATTTTTTCCTTTCTCACATAGACTAAAACAAAAGACTTGGGTGTAGTGTACATGTGAGTATATTTCTTGTTTCCAAGCAAACAGTAAAATGAATCTGAATCAGATATTTTGTCAAAACAAAATTGTTCAGTCAATATAAGTCAACATTAGGATCGCTCCTTAGATTTTTATATTGGTTTTAGAGTTTGACTTTAAGACATGATTATGGTTAGATTTTTGCCTCTATTTTTCAGATTCTGTTAATTGCTTTGTAGTAAGTATAGCTGTGATTATGTTTAGTTTTAATTAATCAGCTAACATCCCATTATTAACTTTCTTTGAACAGCCTCAAATTTGCAAGAGATTAACTGAGTCAGAGGTTAAAATAAACAGCTGGCCTTAAAACATTTAATCTGCAATTGTTAGATTCACCAAGTGGAACAATATATTCCAGAAAAGAATTGAATTAATCAATGCAGTCTTAAGAAGCTATAAGTCTTGGATGCTTTCGCATTTCCTCTTAAGCTAACTTTATATTTAACTATTTGTTAACTATAAAAATGTCAGGGTTTGATTCCTTGCTTTGAAACGCTTTCCATTCTCTTAGAGCCCCTCTTTGCATACAGTAAGTGCTTTCCACTTCTAATAGCTTTTTGAGGTCAGAAAACAGATAACGTGCTTCAAGGTTCAGGCACAGTTAGAAAATTAGGTAAATTATCTTGGAAGTGACTGATTAGGAGTAAGGTAGGTTAGAAGAGTGTTAACTCTAAAAGAAGCCCCTTTTACAAGCAGTAGTAACTTGGTGAATTTCATGTTGCAGTTCCTCTCAAAATCAAGGACATTATTGTTGGTACAAGGCAGCAGCCTTGTGTTGAACCGGCAGTATGCATCTTTTCCTTGGATCAGAGATCAAAAAATTGTTTTTAAAGTATTTTTGTATGTGATTGTGTGATGGGTTTATCATTTCTTCTTCTCTTAGGCAGGTTTTCCCTCTTTCCCATCTGTCTCAGTTGATGTTGCCAATATGGCACTTTCCATCTGGCCCTGACTGCTACAAAAGCTTTTGCTGTTTTCAGCCACAAATCATTCAGTGAAAGGTGCTGCAGGATGGGCAGTGTGAAGAGCACCTCCCCCAGAAGAAGGGAGAGTTCTTCAGTACTTGTGATTTCTCACTCTGAACTTACCCCGAGTTAGAGTTGGAGTTGCTCCCTTGCAGCAGCGTGGTTTACCACAACACCAACGGATTCAGATAGTGCTTATTTTATTTAAAAATATTTCACAACCATACTGTTTTCCCAGAGTTGAGTAACTAACTGTAAAATATCAACCATTCTCATCCTTGGACTGTTCATATCGTACCTGCCGTTGCTTTTGAAAGACTTTGACGCAAAGATCTGGTTGTTGCATTAAAACATCTGTAAACACAGTCATTCCATTTACCAGAAAAACCATGTATTCGTCTTCAAAGGCACTGGTAAGCAGTATACGTTTTTAAGAGTGTGCAAATGATCGGAAGGAGAAGGGAAAGGGAGTGCCTGAGAGATTCTTTGAAACTTTGGAATAGCTGGAGACTTTGCCAAATAAATCATCTTCATGAAAAAAGACCTAATACAGAAAGTTTCAGCCCCAGACTGTACAGCTTCGTGCGCATATGGAAATCAATTTATGTCCTTAGCTGTAGAGATGGGACTTCCATGGTCTAAGGGTCATCTGGTGTTTCAAGAGGAATAATTACCAGCTGCATGAGCCTGACAGTCTGGCAAGTAACTCTTCCGGCAAGTAACCTTTGTGTTAAGCGGGGTTCTCCCTAACTGGGGTACAGCTTTCCCATAAGCTGAGAACTTTAAGCAAAGAGAAAAATAAACTACTCCTGAGAGCATAAATGCTGTGTCTTGAAAGGTTGCTGCCTCCCAGTCCTCCGAGGTTACTGTTTCCTCCAGACAATGAGGAACTTTTTTTGTACTTTAGATTTATACACAGCAATTGTACCTCATTAGTCTGGATTTATGCTACACAGACCAAACACATAAATAATTGAAACCTTTCAGAGCTGTGTGAAATCCTCAACTGATTTTAAAAGCAGTTTATCATGGCATTTCAAGGTGCTGTTTAATCCCAATCTTCACTAGTGATTTTTCAATTAATCTTTTAATCGCACTATGCATAAAAAAGACTAAACATAGAATTATATCAGCTTTAATAACAGTGTTATGCAAAATTAATTTCCAGCAGCAGCAGAGGGAACTGTGGACTCCTTTAGGTTTTTGTGAGATTTTGTTGGTCAAATGCCAGGAATCATAAATAGATAAACCTCATCTTGTGTGTTAAGAAAACATGATTTGATTTTTAACTAATGAAAAATACCTAGATATTTGCTGCTTTGAATTATTAGTTGTATTCCTAGATATATATTATTTTTTCTAATAAAATAACTTGATGGTGTGATTATTATGTGATTGTTTCAGACACCTTGTTTCCGTTATCAAAATTCAGACTTTTTTTTTTCAGTGTGAAACACTTCACTGCTTGTGTACAGTTCATTCATTCATTAGTATCACAAATATTTTAGAAAACAGTAAATGTTAGCCCCACTTTTCCAGCTGACATATATAACTTCCTTAGGGTCATGTACGCAGCCAGCCCTAGTCTGGTGTAGAAACTTATTTTCTTGTCTTCATCTGGGAACTGCTTTGTCTTTAAAATTGTTTGTCTCCCCAGGTTTGTAAAGCTATATAAAAGCTATATATAGGAGTTACAAACACTGGGTAGATATTTTTACAGATGACTGAATAGTTTTCTGTAATTTGAGCTCTTTCTAAAGGATAATGATATGTATAACTAACTTCTGATTTGACAAATTTTCCTTCAAACTAAAGCTCATGGCAGAAATCATGATTTTCTTTTCATGTTATCTTACAAAATTTTGATAATTTTCTAGATTTCTACTGATGCCTACATTTTTACTAGATCTTTCGTATAAAAATATGAAATGTGTTTTTATACAATTTTCTTTATTCTCCATAAAATCAGACACATTTGCATTCCAACTTTCAAGTCCTGTTCCAGGCATTTTAAACAGTCAGATTCTATGGAAGTGGGCTGTATTAATTGCAAATAGGCTAGACATCTGTTCACTCAAACTGAATAATTTCTTATGTCTCATTTTTGTTTATCAGTGTTTTACATAAAATCGTTATTATTTTCTGTTGGAAACACAGATTCCGAAGTGTATTATTTGCCCATTACAAAAGGCCACCAAGCTGATTTTTCTTCAAGAGATCATGTTGAAGAACTGGGAGGAGGGGAGGGAAATCTTCTAAGTAATGTGAAGTTAGTATTGATGTCACATTTGATCAGAAACAATTTAATGCTGTTATTTTCGAAACTATCTCTTTCCTCCAAAATCCTCAGCAGTGTAAATGTTCCTCCTTACCAGTCTGGTGGTTCATTAGGAAACTGGTACAAAGTAAGGACTGGATAGAGGTAGGCAGGTTTGTGATAGAGATATAGATTTGATTGTCACCTTTGGTGGCTTAGGCACCTAATTTTAGGCACAGATGATGAACATTAGTTTAGGGCTTTACTCTCTTGGTAGGTTTCAGTGTTTGATTGAGGTACTGGGATGTTTAAGGATCTCTGGTGTGAGCTGGATCTTGAGGAGTCACTTCTGAGCTCATAGTGGGACTGTTGGGACTGCGGTGGCTTCACAGTTTGTCTCTTAAGATTGAGAACCAGCATTTTAAAAGCATTAAGTCAGCATTTGAGGTCACATGTGGAAGGAGAATGTCTTGAATCAGCAAAGTATGTGAGCAGGGGGTGGCAAGTAAATTATAAATTATTCTCTGTTTGTCTAATGTAAGAATGAGGGACATGAGGAAGGGTCTTTTGATGGGAAAGTGAGCAAGAGTAGAAAAAGTAGAGGAAGACCAGCAAGACATTTCCTCAGCTTTGCTCTAGGACAGGCTGAAGGAGTTGGGGCTGTTCAGCCTGGAGAAGAGGAGGCTCCGGGGTGACCTTATAGCGGTCTTCCAGTACCTCAAGGGGGCCTACAAGAAAGATGGGGAGAGGCTGTTCAGGAGGGCCAGTTATGATAGGACAAGGGGTAATGGTTTTAAAATAGAGGGAGGTAGATTCAGGTTGGATATTAGGAAAAAATTTTTTACTGTGAGAGTTGTAGAACACTGGAACAGGTTACCCAGAGAGGTGGTGGATGCTCCATCCCTGGAGACGTTCAAGGCCCGG